TTCATGAGCTATAAACCATAATCATCACAATTATGACAAATCACAGTTTGAACTATCTTGCTTTGCATGTAATGAGTCTATCTCATATATTAGTTTCACCTTTTAAGTTGCATTACTGAAATAAATGAACTTTTGCATGATATTCCAATTTTTTGAGTTTCACCTGTATAGCAGGATATGAGATTGTGTATTTCATTACCAAGCTATAGACATTCTAATATGTATTCCCTTATTTAGGCAACTGGATAGTAAATTTGAGCAAACTCATGCATAGAAAACTATTGTCCCTAGAGCAAATGGTTTTTGGTCTGGGAAATTACTTTGGTTTTCTATACTGTCTTCTAGCATGGCAGAGAGATGAGCCATGATTAGTGTGAAAATTCGGTATATAGGAGGCATTTTGCTTTGTTGGCTGGTACTTAAATTGAGAATATGATAAAAGCACACTTCTAGTTTTGATTTAGATGCACTTAGATACACTTGCATCAAACATGAATCCCCACATAAATGATATGTACATCTACATGGTACAAAGTTGCACATATCTTTCTGCAAATTTGAATGCATGCTTAACAAAGTTACAGGTTCAAAATAACAAAACTATTAAAAAGTCAGGCAAGAGCCATGGTGGCACAGTGGTTAGAAAGCAGTATTGCAGGCGGACTGAGCTCATTGCTAGGAGTTCGATCCTCACCATCTCCACTGGGCCTTCCATCCTTCTGAGGTCAGTAAAATGATGACCCAGATTGTTGGAGACAATATGCTGACTCTAAATCGCTTAGAGAGGGCATAAAGCACTATGAATCTGTATATAAGTCTTAAGTGCTATTGCTATTAGTTACTTGTATGTTTCTGGGTACAATCCACGATGCTGATTGTCAACTTTAAAATCTAACTGGCTTGAGACCGAGTTACCTGCTGGACTGCCTTTTTCCAAGTGTATCATCCAATTCAATCTAGCAGATTGGGCACATTGCAAATTCTGTCTCAGGCAAAGATTTAACAGCTGGGGGGGATTAGAAAATGGGCCTTTTCTGCAGTAGCCCTTGCTTTGTGGAATATCCTGCCCTTGGAGAATGGCCCCAAATGTTAGCCTTTGGTAAAGCTTTAAAATCCTGTGTTTGAATTTGCTAAGAGCCTTTTTTCTTGGCTTTATAGCTGACTGGACATATAAACAAATTATTTTCTCACCCTTATGGATGGTATATGTCTTTCTTAATCTCATGTTATTTACCAGATGCCTGGGAGTTTGAGGGTTTTGCAGTATCTTAGCTGTTTCTAGCACTTTACAGTATTTTATTTATTTGTATCCCATCTTTAACTATCATTAAGTGTTGTACCTTATGATGATTCTTGACGAATGTATCTTATCTTTTTATGTACACTGAGAACATATGCCCCAAAGACAAATTCTGATATTGCTGTCACTTTGCACTGCTACATCTTTTAGCATCACTCTTCTATCTACCAGTGCTACCACAATGTCTGTTTAATTGGCCAGTAATTCCCTGTATATCTGGATCTGGAAGTTTCACAGGATGTGTTAATTTTCTCATTCTTCACATCTTTCTGTGAGATCTATCTTGATTTAGGAGAATCTAGCCTAGATTATGTGCAAATATTCCTTTAGACAATGCCAGTTATATATATGTACGTACATACATACATATGTGTGTGTGTATATATATATGTGTGTGTATACACACACACACACACACACATGTGTGTGTGTGTGTGTGTTGTATTTGTGCTGATAAATAAATAAAGGGAGACTAGTATAGATCTATTTCAAGCTATTTAGCTCTCATCAGCTAGCCATACCCTTACTGCACAGATTCTAATTCCAGTAAGGGTATGGCTAGCTGATGAGAGCTAAATAGCTTGAAATAGATCTATACTAG